GCTCCATTAGGACATAATTGTGGATCGACTTGAGCATTGATTAGTGCAATCAATGTGAAACTAAGAATTATTTGACATAATAATCTTACTCGTTGCATATTATTACAGTTAACTTCCGAGTCTTCGTTTTTGAAAATGAGAAGAAAAGCAACAGCAAGATACTTTGTCGAATAATGCTTCGAAAGCAGTAATATCTTCAGTAAAATAGATGAGATGATAAGAAACAAGCGAGTTTCTATTTACTTAAATTATCTACGTTAAAGGCGAATGTAAAGTAACGAACAATGTCTTTGACTGTTTATCTTTCTTTATTCAGTTAACTCACACATATGTGATACATTGTCTTATCTCGTTTAGTTGTATTTTTGTTTCGTTACTTATTGTTTACTGATCTATTTAAAGGTTTTCATCCAAATACAATGTTAAGCTCGTTCATATCGATATTTCACCGTCGAACATGTTTATTCCATCGAAATACAAGCAAATCATTGATGTACACCTGTTCTGCTCGCGATAAGCATCATCGACAGTTTCCCATCGATGTCCTTGTTATTTCATCTCTGAAGCAACCTCGAAATAATTATCATCTTGAGCAAGAGGATTTGCTCTATGAAGCACATAGATCATCTAAATAAGAAATGACGGATGTTTGCTGTCTTTTTTTCTTTTTCTTTCATACCGCTAAGGGAAGACGCTGTTTTTCCTCCTGTGTGCAAAAGCCACAAATCGATAGAATCTATTTCTACCATATTATACATACCATTTGCCCTCCGATAGACAATAGACCGAACAATCAACGACAAGCATATTAAAAGACTATGTATGCACCTCGTGCGAGATTTGAACGTATTCTCATCGTCTCACCGATTAAAGTAGCGATTATATTTCTCACCAGTCTCCATTGTTTATTCTTAATCATTGCTTTCTTAACATCGTTCTGGATCGAAACTAAACAAGGTCACTATGGGCCCGTCTTTAGTTGTGAAAAGCATTTCCATCGAACGAACCAGATCATAACATCAATGACAACGGAATGTCATCGAACTGGCTTTCGTCCTGACATTCGTATATTCTCTATATCGCTCATCGTTCTACTTCTCGTGCTCTCATTTTTATTATCATTCGTGTCGATCATAACCGCGAAGTTATCCTTAACAAGAAGTTCGTTTTCTAGCCGTCATCGATTCTGGAAGTGTACTATTCTTCTTCTATTATTCTCGACCATCATCGATAGTTTTATCTTAGTCTTTCTTCCGTTAAGTTATCGTGATCAAGTTTATCATTTTCGTTGGGCATACGGTGTTCATTGTGGCATGACATTGTTTATAGCAGTTTCGTTGATAACGTCGATTCTAAGTAGTAATATCGATGACGTCCGATATATCGAAGCAATCGATGAATCAGCTGTAGAAAAATGAATTGAAAGACCCTTTTCCTGTCTGCAAACAAACGTAGTCTATTTTCTGAAAAAAATGAATAAAAACGTGTTTTTCCAGTTCCAACCAACAATCTGATTAATGTCGGCACTCTCTCCTATCTCGAGTTCGACATTTTTGCGCGCCGAGTTTTGCATAGCTTGTTATTTTAGACCTACGCCTTTTATCATACCGAGGAAAAAAGAAAAATGATATTCTTGATAGGCAAAGCACTGCTCGATGATCGAATGGCATACAGTTATTGATGAGGTATTAGTTATGACGTTTCTGTGTCCCATGAAGATCTCTATCGTCTATATTTTCATCATTAGCTAAATCATCAAATACCAATACTAATGGCAACGAAAAAGAAAAATCTTCATTGGCTTTGCCTAAGACAAATGTTTTTTTATCACCGAAATCATTTCATTGAGTTGAACAATGGTTTGCTTCAAATATTGCAGTTTATCACAGAGAAGTCGAAGTGCTTGATGATCGGTAGGACCCATGATCACGAGGTATTTTCGGATGTAATTCACTGTCCAACATGCATACACAATCCAGATGTGGCATTTCATTAGATGATACACTAGTTTTTCGAATGCATTGTGCTGTTGGAGACTCGAAATATGATTCATTAAGTATTTCGACCATTTTTCCCTATGAAAACAACGAATTGCCCGTAACAGTCGGAGGCGTAGATCAAGTGGGAGAGCGTTGTCAGTAAGTTCTTGATTCGACGTGCCTATTAAACGTGACATATCATTGTCAAATTTATTCATAAGATCAGATGCATTGGAATGCGAAAAGCCAATATGCGAGAGAAAATTTTTTGCGACAATTGACGAGGTCATTTGGGAAATGCGAGAAAAGAATGAATGAATTCATCGAGGAAAAACTTTGATAACCAGTGACAGTTATTTTCGAAACAGATGACGCTACAAATGGTTGGATTATTTATTTTCAATGTATATATGTACGAGACATGTCAGGAAAAGTGCAAAGAATTTGAGAGAATAAAAAGAAAGTAGACAACGACGACACGTAGAAATATGAATTAATGTACTTTTGTCATAGAATGTTTTGAAAAAGTTAATATTTATCACTTGCGATACTGACTTTTTCTCGCAGTGGTTCCATCTTGTTCTTGATATATCTATCACTTGAGCCACTGAATTTTTCTCGTAGTGGTTCATTTTTCTCTTTGACTTGTTTGTCACTTGCCGTACTGGCTTTTTCCCGAAGTGGTTCGTGCTTATTTTGGATACATTTGTCACTCGCGACACTGGCTTTTTCTCGAAGCGGTTCATGCTTATTTTTGATACATTTGTCACTCGCAGCACTGGTTTTTTCCCGAAGTGGCTCATGTTTATCTTTGATATCTTTAAACCAGCCACCTTCAGCGACCGGCTCTTCGTATGCTGGCGGTGGCGAGTTGATTTTCTCTCGACTCGACTGTTGTGAGTATTGAAAATTGGCATATCGTGTAAAATCATTATCAACTAAATCATCCTCTTGCTGAACAAAGCCGAGTTTTTGTCCGATCCTGAAGTATTTAAATGCGAATAGACGAGCATTGTCATCGTCAAAATAAGTATACAAACCATTCGAACTTGTCGACAATACTTTCTTTTATTAAATCAAAACACATTGCTAAGACAGCTAGACCAACAACAATGTAAAGACAATTTGCCAGAAAACGTAAGCCGTCTGTTGAACCGGATGTTATTCCTGGTACCTAAACAAGCGAGAAGTTAGATAAATAAAACTCGACGAAGGCTTCTGTTTTACATAATCACCAAAGCCAATCGTTGATAGTGTGATGTAACAAAAGTAAACCGATATTACCATTGACCAACCTTCGAATCGATTGAAAACAAATGCCCCCACACAAACGTAACCAATGATAATTAAAATGACAACTAAAATCGGTACGCGACTTTCCATTCGTGTCCAAACATCGTCCATTTCATTCTCGTCTTCATCATCTAGATCATATTCTTCATCACTTAATTGTTCACCATTATGTTGCTGATCAGCCTCTGGCCAGTTCGGATCAATGGATTCTTTGCCCACATAACCCATAGAAAAATGATCGTTATACGATGCTCCTTTGAGTTTCCGTTGTTTTCGCCGACGGTTACGCATGTAGACTCGACAACAGCAGCACATGAAGTGCAGAAATGTCGAATACATAAAACGAAACATATCGCCCAAAATGGAACTTATATTGGCCAAGCATAGTAAAAATATCGGAATACCAATCAGTGCATAGCAAATACAAGTAATTTGTCCTTCCCTTAAACAAATACAAAGATTAGCTTCGTCTGAATGTCGTCGATATTTACCATGAAACTGGTGTGATATGCCCATAACCAATGGATGTAATGACCGTGATTGCGAAAAGCAGTGCTGATGAAAATGACCAACCAGATGTGGTTTCGCAATCTTGTCCAGTATAACGGAAATCAGATCGACGTTCATAGATATCACTGGTGAAATTCTCTAAATAACTTTCGATTTGGTCGTACATCACCGCGTCGCTATCAGTCGAAATCGAAACGTAGTTAAAAATCGATTCAGAGATATTCGAAACCGAAACATTTTCCAATACTAAATAGTCAACATGCACATAGTAGTATGACTGAACAAACGTTCGTATACGTACGATTAGCTTCCTGACAATTCTGCAGTTCAATATATTGCTCAAGCAAAATGAAAAGAAAAGCTCCGCCAATACTGTATGCGACCACGACGATGACCAAGCCGAGATTAGAACAGAGAAATTGCACGAATGTTCGGTAGAACGATCGACGTCGGCCGGGATTTTCACTCGGTGCCTGTGCAACAAGATGCGAGATACGATCAATTGGCATCCTACTCTCAACTTTTGTTACTCTCAAAATGAACGATGATTACTTTTTTTTTCTTCGCTTAATTAAACAATACCGATACATCCGACTAAAACAACAAAACGGGGCAGAAGAAAGATGCAGTTTCCCATCGGCTGATCGAGAAGAGTAAGTAAATCAGAAATGTAATAACAACGCAAGGGATGAGAAAGTATTGGATCTCCTACGAAGAAATAATTTAGTATGATGACATTAATTTCTATTGAGTAAATAGAATGAGAACGTTTTCACAGAGCAACGCTGCGTTTGTTTTCAATCAGAAACAAATCTGTATGCTTGAGAACTTGAATAACAATCCTTTTATTTTTCTCCATGTCTTCATTTTATTCTTTTTCAACCTCTGTTCATTCTTTCACAAAAAAAAAGAAAACGAAAAAGAAAACTATAAAGAGAAACACATGATGGTTAAATAATGTTAGCTGGTAAGAAGTTTCTCACACATACGCAAACAAAATCAATAGCATGAACAGGACAGGAACTTTGTTTTCGATTTTAACATAAACATAGCTAACAAGTTAAACACAAATACAGAGATGATGGCCAGAGAAGTTTAGAGAATAAAACCATGAAGAAAAAGAAAACAAATGATAAAAACGACGCTTTTTCTTGTTTGTGTTGTTGTTATTGTTGAAGATTCTTCTTATTTGTTGATTTTTCTTGCTTAAACGGTTGTTTAGACTGATGATTGACCGCCATCTGGTCCGCCGGCTTGATTGTCATTCTACAACACATACGTACGCGTGTTTAGTTATTAGTGAAAGCTATTAGACGGGTGAACTTACTTCGTTACTTGAATCATTACGATTTCCTTGACGGGCTCCTCGGAAGAATCGACCACGGCCACGTCCACGGCCTCGACCGCGACCTCGGAAACCACCACGACCTCCGAATCCTAAAAATTGCAATCGTGTAGTTGTTTGTCCTTAGAATTATTTTTGGTAGTTTATTTTTCAAAACACCAAAAACGTGATATTACGTACCACCCATTGGTGGACCCATTGGGCCTGGCATAGGTCCCATTGGACCACCCATCATTGGGCCGCCTCGGCCGCGAAAAACGCGTTGTCCTTGACCGAAAAAAATAAACATATAACCTCAATTTGATAAATTGACTTATATTTTACCTCCGAAATCACCTTCAAATCCATAGCCGCCTCGGAATGGTGGACGTCCACGTCCTGGAATGAAAAACATTTCACAATAATACAAATGGAAGTTCATCGAGATTCGCATTACGTACCTCGAATCATTGGACCACCAAAGCCTCGTGGTGGTCGGCTGAAAGGACGTCCTCCCATTGGTGGAGGGCCATAACCTTCGAATGGTTGACCAAATGGTTGGTTATAACCTGCATCGAAGCCACCGCGACCTAAAATAAAATCCGGTAAATATGGTCTTCCGTTTGACTTCGACGAACCTCCACGGAAAGGTCCACCACGGGCACCTCGGAATGGTGGGCGATTACCTCCTCGACTTCCTCGAAATCCGCCACGGGTATTGTATTGTCGACGATCAGCTGCATATTTGGAACCTTGAACGCTGTCGCCATTGGGACCTGTTACATTAGCGGCTTCAAGACCTTTTTCGCCTACCAAAAGCAAAAAATCCAATAAGTTCATAGAAGTCTTTTCAAGGAAAAAACTCAACCCTACCTTGTACAATATCGAATTCAACTTTTTCTTCATCACCAACACTACGTAAGTACTTGCGAGGATTGTTCTTAACAATAGCTGTTTGATGAACGAAGATGTCTTCATTTGTATCTTCTCTACAAGAAAACAGAAAAACAAAGCAATCATTATGAGTCACTGTTTGCTTTTTTGCTTGGTTAAAATAGAAACTTACCGATGAATAAATCCATAGCCGCTCTTAACATTGAACCATTTTACTGTACCAGATACTTTAGTTGCTAGAAAGAAAAACAAGAAGACAGTGAATAATTATCGTCTGTTACAAGCTGTTGCTGTCGGCTTCTTCTCTCACATTATATTTCATTTACAAAGGCGCGCAGAGTATCAATGAAAAGAGGGGAATCAAAGAGAAAAACAAGTAGTTCTTTCACCTACCGATGACATTTTTACCGTTGATTTGTTTCGAATCATCAGAGCCCGAACCGGGTTGATCTTGTTGTTTGTTGGCATCAGATTTTTGATCTGTGCCAGCATTTTGGTTTGTTGCCACGTCGTTTGATGACATGTTAACCTAATCAGTAATTATTTGGTTTTTTTGTTGTGTTGTAATGTGTTATTTATCTATTTATAAATAAGCGCGTTGGTTCACGACGAAAATGTTGGAATGAAATTCGTTTGTGCTGTTGCTGCGCTTGATGTTAAAATTTGTTGTAAAACGCTCGGGCGCGTGTGATGGTGATGGTGAATGGGCTTGTGCTGCTCTTATTCTAACGCATCTGAATGATGAATGATTCGACCATTTTTGTAGACAGCAAAAACACGCGTCGAACGCAACAAGAAAAGAAGAAAGAGAGTGAATAAGAGAAAAGAAAATCTATTTTTCACTCTCTGTGTATGTGTTCTCGCGCGCACTCGTCACGTGATTATGAGAGGAAGAAGAATAGCAAATAACTAGCATGCAGTAACCCTCTACCACAAAACACAAAGAGAACGATCTGGAATTATCATCGACTCGATGTAACAGCAGTACTACACATACGCATTTTGTTGTCCAGGGGGGGGGGGGGGGCAATGAAGAAGGCGAGGGACGGAGGAGAAAAAGCGACGGCAAGCAAGCAAGAAGCATAGACGACTTTTCACTTGAATACGTGCCAATAAGAGAAAAGAAAACGACGATGTCGACGTCGAGAAGAGGACAGGAGAATGATGTGAAGAAGATGAAGAAATACAATATCGCCATCTACCCGCTATCGTTCTATCAGCATTCTTGCACTTCATGAAAATCAACTTAGAGGAATATTTGTCGAGATTATTGCCCAGGGGTCATGCTAGATATACGCGTTTATGTCTACGTCGAGACGTACAAATCTAATGCATAGAGAGATAAAAGTAAATCAAGATTTTCCTCGTTTGTACCAATAATAAAAACCACGCATATTATCATCTATTAATCGTGTTTAATGATTGTACAGCTAATTTATTTAAAAGAAAAAAAAACACATACCGTCAAATCAAATCATCATAACAAGATTTTACCATAAAACGAAATAATCGTCCGAATTTTGGACATCATCGAATATTTATTCAGTTTCTATCCTCGTACAGTAGTTGATTAACGATACCAATTATTTCAACTAGAACGTTCTGCTCTGTTGAATGCATTGATTATATCTAATCATATGTAAGACAATTATCTTTTCCTAAAGATCATACAACTGTGAATTCGTTGTGTTTACTATCTGTAATATCTTTCATTGCATAACAATTCACCAAGAATAACCTATATCAGATGTTGACCTGTATCGATTCTGAAAAATATCTGATTCGATATTTTCAACGCTAAACAATTCATGGAATTCTGAGTGAAAAGGAAGTGTTAAACGATTGAAATCTCTGATTTTATGTGTATCAACGAATATCGATTGATCGAAGTTGTTCTCTACGTTCAAACTTTCAAGGCGTTCATTTGTGTTTCTCGGCTACTTATTGATTTAAGATTGTAATGACTGATAAAGTTGTTCTCTACATCTCTGTACACATTCGTGATTAAAAAGCTTAACATCGTTAGTTGCGCATATGTATGTGCGTGTCCTCCATGCATGTTCGAACATTTTGTCAATTAAAAAAGAATCGATTGATATGTTACTGAAAAAAAAACTTGCGTCGTCTAACTTGCAGCTTCATTTTTCTCATTTTCCCTTTCAGAAACACACGCACTAAACTGTTCCGAATACCTCTCAGCACAATCGTCAGGTACGTGTACCAAAGTTCTCAGTCGGTTTCTCTTCTCCCAGCAACATAAACGTATTCATTTCATGTTCTTGATTAGACATAGTGAACTATTAAGGCACGTGATTATGAATACTATGATGTTCGCTGACAAACATCGATCACATATGTATATTCATTAGAACGGACGAAAAAGTTTGTAAAAAATTGAGTCAAAGACAAAAAATATTAAATCTCAGAGAAAATTGATTAATGCTTGGATAATCTCTAGAAATCGACTGGTTTGATTATTGCCATCTTCACTTGTCCAATTGAAATAAGCAAGTTCGGTTTGTATTTGTTGAACAACGTTTTCCAACTGATTGATCTTATTTTTATGTGACAGAATGTACTTAAGAACATATGGATGTACAACGTAGCCGTGTTTGACCTGTTCAAGGAATATTTCGAGTTTAACGGATCGTTTCAATTGACTTAATTGTTCAATGAAACCTAATGGTCGTGTTGTGCTGTATTGATGTGTTAAATGTTTGAATAAATGACGACGTTTATCTTCATCATCTTCATTTTCATCAAATTGTCGACATAATTGTTGCATTTCAGCCTGACCTTCGAACCGATCGTATTCGCAAAGTTTACAATTGCATTCACTGATCGAAAACTCGCGTAGGCGAAGCGTGCGATCAATGTATGATGAATAAACATCGGGAAAATAACAAATCGTCATTTCTTCGCCGACTTCAATTGGTCTCAAAACACTTACAAAACAAATCTGATTGATAATGATGTAGAAACAATTCGGCAAACACGAATGGTTAAATCGTGCTAGTTTTGCCCATAGACCATTGTTAATAACGTTGCGTTCGAAGATTTCAATCAAAGCTTTATATTGAAGTGTGAAATAATCTTCGTCTTCGGATTTTTTTCTTAACGGATACTGACGTAGTGGGGTTAGATGGGATAATTTTTCAATGTAGTACTTCTGGTCGAGAAGAATGCGCGCTTCGATTTGTTTGAGGAGCTCTAATGAAGGTTGTCGAAGATATTTACCGCCATGACTATTTCCGTCATCTGCGTTTCGATGTTCGGATTTTTGAGTCAATGAAAAAGTTATCAAATGCGAAGGATCATCGATTAGAACTTCATTTGGCTTCGATTGAGCATAAGCAATCGGCCGTTCGACAAGCAGCAGCGTACCTGGTTTTAACGGGCACAACGCAAACATACCAAAACCTTTGTCCTAAAAGAGATTCGATGGTCATCTTTGATAGTTGCTGAAAATAAACTCTTTTACTTCTTCTTCACATTGTCGGAATTCGCAGACGTTCGCACGCTCGAATTCGGCAAGAAAATCGTCGGAACGCTTGTTTCGATTGGTTAATAAATCGAACATATCATACTTTCCATCGACTTCATTCTGTAAACGCGGAATATCACAATCGAGAATACGTCGAAAACGATCAAGAATTTCATTCGATGATGCNCTTTGATAGTTGCTGAAAATAAACTCTTTTACTTCTTCTTCACATTGTCGGAATTCGCAGACGTTCGCACGCTCGAATTCGGCAAGAAAATCGTCGGAACGCTTGTTTCGATTGGTTAATAAATCGAACATATCATACTTTCCATCGACTTCATTCTGTAAACGCGGAATATCACAATCGAGAATACGTCGAAAACGATCAAGAATTTCATTCGATGATGCCACATCTTGTGTATATTCCAATAAAGAATTAATCGCTAGTCTGGCTTGATCAAATAACTGTAAACCAATCAAAGCACGCATTTTTCGATAATGAATTTTCCATGTAAATGTACCATCGGTATTCTCTTCTGTCGAATTACTCGCACAGATTTCTAAGATACGTTCGCAATCAGCGAAAGCTAAATGAGGTAATTGACCTTGAAGGTAACATTCAGCGCGATTACTCAAAATTCGCGTATCATTGGGACTTTTGATTAAACCATGGGAATAATATTCAATTGCTCCATGAATATCATTATTACGAAAACATTTGTTACCTAAAAGTAATCAGTCGAAAATATAATCTCTTGGTCGATTTCTTACCTAGGTCACGTAACTTATCAGCGGTCATATGTTCAATTTCTCTTTCGTAGTCCGTAAACCACACGTCAAGTCTAGGGTTATCCACTCGTAGAATTAATAAGCCATCGGCAGCCATTTTAATAAACGGATTTCCAATCATGAAATATCTTTCCCGTCTCATTCGATTTCGGATGTGTTCACTCGATTGATCAGCGAGAATTGTGTACCAATTATATATCGATAAACGTACAATATTGTTGTTGTCATCTTCGACAATTAGTTGTATGGATCTTGGGGTTATCAGTGGATCGACAATTGAATGAACTCGAATGACTGACCCTTTATGTACACGATTGATTTTCGTTTCTCTAAGAGTGATATTGGTCATAGACGTTAAACGATTATAAGTCTCTTGTTTCGAAAGAAATGATAACGCACGATATTTCAGTTGGATGTCGAATGCGTACGGGATAACATTGTAATCTTCAAGTGTGAACGCTTTGCTGTAACGTTCGAATGAAAGAAGTAAATCTTTTCGAGAACAAAGTTCATGAAATGGACGAGAATTCAATTCAGGTGCGTAGATGCCGGTCGGTGCTGCAAGTAGACGATCGACAATATGAAAAGGTGAGGTATTTTTGTCATCATTCGTCGTTGTCCGTTGAGATACGGCTGTTAAACGTCGTGCTGCTCGGGCAGCTTTCTTATTATTCTGACATTGTCGAGCAAAATAAAATGCTAAATTCGTCATGTCGATATTGGGTAATAGTTGCGATAGATCAGCGAATTTCACTAGCTGTCGTCGATGCTCCTCGCAACAAATATGAGATGGCATTTCCGAATTCAATGTATCGAGTTGTTTCATTCTATAGGAAGAAGAAATGAAAACCGCTTTGTCATTGGAATTTCCAGTGCTTGTTTGTTAAACAATAGATAAATTGTTTACTTTACATACCTCTGAAACATTCTTAATCACATATACAAGACACGGAAGAAGTAGAGTTAATTTCTAATCAGAATATCTGCTTCTACTAATCACAGTGTGCTTTCAATGACGAGAAATTTGTGGACGACCGAGTGGGCATAAAATCCTTGTGTTAGTATGTTCCACGATTGGGAAGCAGAAGAAACGAAAAATGAGAGCATCTGTGATTGGTCATATAAAACACCGATTCATAGAAATAGGAGTAAAATTCAAGTCTCATTCTGAGTGGTCGAGAAAAACTCCAATTTCATCGTCTTTCCTTTGCTTCATTTCAAATCATCGTGTATTTGTAAATGTAAATATATGCTTCCTCTTTTTGTCAATTTCTGAGCCAACAGACAAAATTACAGTTAGATGACGTTCTATCAGACAAACAAATTTGCATAAAAATACCACGCTTTTGTTTCTAAATTTGTTTTTCTCCCTTCTGAAGATTTTTTATAAGTTCTTGTATTATCGATGATTCTAGAATAGTCTCGATAGTTTGTTTTATTTCTATAGAGAAATAGAAAGAGAAACGAGAGAAGAACGAGCATATGCATTGCTATTATATTTTGCTGAGTAATCGTCGTATTAGCTGCCGACAGATTCTATACCAGGTAAGACTGATTCATATTTCTAGCAGAGAATAATTACCTGAATTAGCGCATTTTTCGGTTCGTTCGAGATACAAAAAAAGTGAATCAAATGAATATGAATTTCAATGATAGTTGAATGTTGTCTTGACCATTTTTTATTGAAGTAAATCCAACACTATCTTTTTTCTCGGTTTGGAATTAATCGTACACCACGAAATTTCGACTTTTTTTTCCTAAGACTTGATCCTTTTATGTCATCTAAATAAACAATCACTGCTCGTCCACGTATAAAATTTTTATTTTTTTTCGGATTTCTTTACAGTTATACCCTACTTTGTATGAGTCATTTCCACACTGGGAAAAAGTAATAAGCTACGTCACTAGTGCAGTAAACAATGTCATCTGATTGCAAACTTTCAAAAACAAACGAAAATATGGATATCTCTTTATTCATAGTTTTCATCAAACACTCAATCCACATATATGGTTTCCAATGGATCAGTCCATCTACAATAGCAATAAACATGTTTAGTCGAGGATTCTCTAAGAATGAAGAGTACTCAATGTAACTCGAGAAACCCTACGTAGGGAGACGGAGAACATGACCACCTTCATTTTTCAGAGATTCAAAGCGATAAACATGTTTATTGCTACTGTAGATGTCGGGGAACAAAAAAAAACGTGTTCTTCGAGTAAAAGGGCCATCACAAGCAAGTCGCCTAAAAATAACGATAATGACCGCATTCTCACTAGTGAAAATCGCGTGTTCATTAGCCGTATTTCCGAAAGCTATTGTTGTGATAACAGCGTGAGTAAAAGGGAAAAACTGGATTATATTAGTAAGCGGATAGACCCTTTCAGCAGTTGAAGATAACGGCAGTTGTTCCAAAAAATCATGTGTATATGCGGACAAATGCTTTTACCGCAGTTCGACAAATCGGACAGGTTTTTAAACTATGTCCACATGCTACACAGCTCGTCAAATGACCGCATGGAAGGCATGCGACCTGACGATCTGTAGACATGCAAAGTACACAAAGCGACTCTTCTAAAAGAAGAAAAAAAATCATGTGGAAAACTGAACTGTTCAGAATGAGTAGTTACCTGTTTTTGTCGTTACCAGAGAATGAGCGGCAACTTTTGGCGTAGTTTTCGGTATTTCGGTTTTCATTGGTTCGATTGACATTGGCTTGGATTCTATTTGCAGAGTGGGTATTCCTTTTTCTTGATCTTCATAGTACTTTTTTAACCAATGTTGTGCTACTAAAATATTCCCTTCATTTCCATTGATTAATTTCACCTGCTTATCTAATATTAGACAAGCAACTCGAAGGTCGACGTCGGTTTTGAAATCGTCCTCTAAATTAATTAAGTAGATAATAAATAAATTCGATATTTATTTGTATGAATATACTTTTGAATCGAAGTTGCATTTCAAAAACTTTTCTAAACAAAGACGAAATCCGTGCATCGATCAATTTTCTGTCTCAAATGATCAGCTTACCGAATGATTGCCATGCTGTAATTTTCCTGTCGAAGTTTTTCGATAACAGGCAAATCTAAACGAGCCTTGACCATCCGGTCAATTTCATCGTTTGTCCACGGAATGTATTCAGACGATGCACCACTGTTACTCATTTGAAGATTTTGTTGTGCTTAATTGAGAACATGATAATCGTAGAGACAATATAATTCATCAACCTTACCACGTATTTCACGATTTTTACGTTGAATAGCTTGATAAAGATTTTCACCAATGTACTGACGAATATAAGCACATTGCGGAAACCACCTGGCATGTTCAACTTTCGGATCATCTGAAGCTTGCCAATTTCGCAAAGCTCCATTACAGTAAAAACAGCGCACGATAGTTCTATCACCTAGAGAAATAATATTAGTTGAGACGAACTTCGATTTATTAGTTTTAGAGCATTGAAACCTGTATAAAAAAATCCAGCATCGACGAAGGATTCTATCGATGGTAGTGGAGTATCCTCCTTTCCTGGCCATTTGTCAAATGTTTGATGACGACGAACGACTAATGCATATTCGGCGTGTATTGCGCCAACAATGGATTGACCATTTGGTGTGTCATTGATTGTTTGGTTCGCTACGGGTATGGGCGGTAGATTATTTGTAGGTTGTTTACTTTCATTCATACGAATATAATAGCATTGCGGAGACCTCAGACGATGAACTTTGTACGGACGATCTGTTTCGCTCCAGTTGTGAAACATTGCATCACAATGAATGCAAATTACTCTGTCAGTTATGTTCGTGTACCACCAGCCGGCATAAGCCATCTCTTGTGCACTTGGTGTAATCGATGGCCAATTGAGAAATGTATAAGCTCGAGCACGATCAACGATTTCGGTCGATAGAGAATTAATGAATAAATTTTGAATTGTTGGTTGATCAGAGTTCCTATGAAGATTTTCACCGTCACCACCACCATCGTCCATATACCCTCTATAATCAGTACGTGACACATTAGTACGAGCTATTGACGATTTGAGAATCGATACCGCTTGATCTGAATATGCATAGAGAAAAAATGTATGACTAGGATTGTCATTGTGTCATGTGCGTGTAAACAATGATGCACAGTTACTGAGATATCAACATCAAAGTTTAATCATGCCTGTATAATTTTTTTGAAACGGCACATCTTCAATGTACAAGTAAATTACTCGATAGTATCCGTCATGATAACTGTATTCATCAATGCTTTCTCTGTACGACATCAAAAATAAAAGCAATAGAAGAGAAATCATATCTTACCTTGTTTCGAAAAGAGTTCACTTTGTTCGAGAACGAATGGACACTTAGGACTTCGTTCCATATGTTCTTGCCTCGGATCCATTCCAGGTTTCCACGAATCGATTTCCAATTTACAGGCTTCGCATCGGACTTTATCACCTTGGCCTGTGTATGAGAATCCAACTTTAGAAAGAAGTGCTGCTGATACGTTGCACTTAGTGTTTAATTTCCATTGTCGAAAACTCGCCAACCTACAAAGATCAGGCTTTATGCGCCGTTTTGGTCGAAGAGTTGCTTGCGTCGAGGTGTTTGATGATGCAGTATGATTTCTGGATTGAATTCCAATTGCCATTTTTCTTAGTTTTGGTGAGGATGAACCTCGATTTTTGTTTGGCGCGTAGTAGAAAAAACTGAAAAAGAAACAAATGAAAATTAAAGTCTGTAGTTTGGTCAGAACGCTAACGCTGCACGTGTCACCTTGGATATTTTTGTTCCTCTGGGTGAAAAACATTATTTTTTTGCTTTCTGGCAACAAGCTAGATTTTTCGTGTAAGCATGCAATATAGGTAACTTCTGGGTTTTTTTTCTATCAACTGGGAAAAACATGTAAGATATTAAGCAGCAACATTTTATGAACGCGTCAACCTGACCTTATCATCGAAAAACAACGTCACTGGGAAAAAATGCAAAATTATTTTCATTGGTCATGCATCCAGACCAATCGAGCAAATCCAGTAACGTTCTCGAAAATACTATTGGCGCTGCCGTCATACATTAGTCAAATACACTTACTGAATCAGCAGTCAATTAATTACACTAGATGATTGTACTTTATGCGTAAACGCGGTTGTTATTACATAGAACGGGATAAGATTTTCACCTGTATTTATACTCCGATCTTTCTCTACGCAGAAATATTTCGCTGACTCTCCTGTAAGCCGAAGGATACTCACTCCTTCTCCGCGATTCCAGTACTGCTAAAATGTGCGCAAAAAAGTGCGATCGAACGAACTTTCTACCTTCGATTGCCAATTACGACTCCAATTTCAGGTCAATCACCTCAAATTTCAATAGATATGTACTTTTCGTAAAACGTGCTTTTCGCTATGAGTGATAGTCATAAAAATCTTAAAATTTATAGCAATTTTTATAATTTTAATGACTCATAAGTAGCTACGTGGTATAAAATTACTCAATATAAAGATATTTTTCTCAAAAAACAGTCACCGTGCTCAATTTTTTTGTCCAACAGATACCCACAAAGATTTTGTGTGACGACATAACATACATTGAAAAAAAAGAACGAACAAAAAAGTACTCGATACAATCAAGAGGAAAATATACAGAATCTATTTCAAAGTCTGTTTTGATTTGAAAGTTACCGGAAACATGTCTGCATCTAAAAATATGCCAGGTTCGGCTCAAAATAGAATGTCAACGCGCGAGACATCGTCAGTGATTATTCGTCGGAAATGTCGCAGTCAACACGAAGGAAATAAGTGAAAAAATTCGAATGCTATTGTATGAAGTCTTAATGATCCGATATACTTGAGCATTGATGACTTTGTCAAAACTTGTGCTAAAAAATATATTCAAAAAGCTACGAAATGTGTTCTACTCGGCAATAAAGAAAACCGTTTCGAAGGCAAACAAATCAAAACTATTTGCATGTTTTGATTGCGCAGCGCTGCGGAAGTGAGTCGGTTTGATTACTTAAAAAATGCGTAATCAGTAACGTGGATACCTGACTCTTACTCGTTCTTCCTACTGCACTTTAGTTGGAAAGTGGAGGAGAATCATACTTATAAATATCATGAATTCAAATTTAATCGAACAGCACTTGCTAATACGAAAGAGACTGTATCTATTTTTTGAGTGAAAAAAACATCTTCAACGAGACTTGATAGTAGTCTAACTGATTTGACGAACAAAGGAAAAACCTGAGGGTGATCATCATCTTGGTAACCATCATGCAACTCACTTTAGACGGAGAATGGAATAAAATAAATACAGATATCTTTCTCCAATCACTTTTCATATTTACCATTTGATCAACACGAAACAGAAGAAAAAGAAAAGACTTCAGTGTTTTTCAATCTAAACTCTCTATGTACAGACATTGTTTACATCAATTCGAACTTAATGATTCCCCTTCTTGTTCACGGTGCTGATGTTTCGAGAGATTCCAACGAATGCACTCGTACATACAACACGTGAATTTTACTAGGGAACAACTACAAGCGAAGCTCACGTTCAAAATTCGAAACAAAGCTGAACAGATTGGGAAAATTACTTTTTAACTTAGCCTGCAATATTCTAGGTGTCTTAAACAAACAAAAAATAATATTTTTCCCCACAGTCTATGTCGATGGGGAACGCAGAACAAGCGAGTGGGGCTTTTCCCAGTTGACGGTGTCTTGCTGAAATAATATATCGATGGGATTGTTTTCTTGTCCCGTTTTTACCGCCATTCTGGGTTTTTTTGCTCCGTCTTCTTAATTCCTTTTGTAAAAATATTGCGGATCATTTTTGCGTATAATTGACTCGGAATCGATTAGATCGCGTTTCAATTGAAATACCAAAATAAAAGAACGATAACCGGTGGATGCATCAACTAATATTTTTCTTTCTCGTTGTAATTAAAAGAAATAGTCGCACATATCTACAAGATTCGAAGCACATGTAATCCTTCACTATCGAACAAGTCGGTTTGCATCGAAATCAGTGCAACCAATATTCAGATCGTATGCGTATGTATCGTATTAAAAACAGATACAGATCAGAATATCAGGTTTGTTGACAATTCGCATTTGAATTAGTTTGAGTCGTCGCCATGAAGAAATGAAATTCAAGTGATTTTGTTTTTCTATTTAAGTAAAATCAAATGAGGAAGCGAAGCGTAAATAGAACGGAAAACATCTTGATTGGCTGATATCCATAGTTGTGTACTTCGTACGAACAACATGAAACTCAACTGAGTACAAAAAAGTATTAAATGCGTTTTTCTAAGTTAACGAGAGAGAGCAAGAATAACAATCAATCATATACACTAGAAAACGACAAGAGAAAAATGTTGCCATCGCTTTATCTTTTGTTGTTGAAAATTTGCTTAATAATTGATCACTTCACCCTCGACCGATTTATCAGAAACTATAGGGTAACTGGCAGCACTGCTGATACCACACATGTTCTTCTTATTTCGAGCTATTTTAATATATCCTTTATCGCCCCAAGCAGCCGACCAACTATGATAATAAAAGAGCTAAAAATAGTAGCAGACAAGACCCGTTCTGACACGTACCTATTCTTCACAATGTAATACTCTTGTTGACCTTTGACTGGATCGTTAGCAACACCATAGCCAACTGCTAAAACTCCATGGTCAAGATCGTCTGATGAGCATTTAGCATCAGAGTAAACACCTAGAATGAAGTCATACACAATCAATCAATTATCCGAAGTAATTCTATTCTTGAAACGAGTATCAACAGCCCTCAAGCATATGCTGCATTTAAATTCGTTGTCTATTTACATACCAGAAACGTAGAATTGAAATGATTCTTGACTAGCATCGATAGCAACTGAAACTGGACCTTGCAGAGCTAGAGCTTCTTGTAAAGCTGTTTCATTGCCTTCAGGAATGTCGACAAAACCATCGCAAGTTGTTCCGACAGCTTTTCGACGAAATTTACACGAATCTTGATCCTATAATTCATAAAATCCGTCGTAACCTTTCAATATTCATCATCTCTCACTTTTCCGACATATGGATATGTTTTTTCATCATCAAGACCCTTGTTATCATGAACATATTTAAATGCATTATCCATTAAACCACCATTGCATCCATTATTTCCCCAATTGGTTGAACAATCAACAAGTTGTTGTTCACTCAAACTAACTAATTTACCACTTGAGCGAGCATGATGACTTTCCAATGCACCAGTCTAGAATATTCCACACACAGTGGTGCAAAAAATCAATTCAATGCAAATTGCATACGTACAGCACTGAATGCCCAACATGAACCACATTGCGCTTGATCTTTAACAGGTGTAACGAGGCCTTGGTCACGCCAATCAACTGATACAGGAAGTGCAATGTAAGGCGAAGCGGGCACATGTACTCGTCGGACGTTCGATGATTGTAAGCGTGAATTCTTCTCGCGACGATAACCATTAAATTTCTGACGAAATTCTTGATTTGTCTTGAAGAAAAAAAAAGAGATGAAATCAATTTCGGAAACCAGCCGATCGTTTCGCTTACCAATGTTGCATATTTGTTGATACCAAGTCGATAAGTATGTAAACCAAGATCATGTTCTAAATTATGTTTAACAATCATTTTCACATGACCAGCAAAGATTTTGAAACGATGAAGTTCATCGATGGTTGTGTTGTAAACAATGCCATAGCCCTTTTTGAAGTTTGCCCACAAATTGTCGATATGAGATTCAACATTATCTAATCTCGGTAAATAAAATCCATCTCCAAGCGAAACCGGTGTCGAACAGATCACCGGTATCAAAGCGAGACCGATGATGAAAACATGTAGTGATAGACGCATGCTGACCAAGTTTATATCTAGGCTTGTTAAGTGCGTGCGTGCGTATGTATAAAAAAACGAGTTTACTTTTTGATAATACCTATCTAATCGAATACAACGATGATCGGAGAGCGATTATTTTCTTTCTGACTGTATGGTTATCTTCAGTTTTGAATTTATAGACGTCTGTATTTTATATAGAGAAAAGAAGAAGAGAAGAAGTTGGACCATGGATAAGTATGAATCATTCATGCTGTTCTTGTCTATTTTGATCAAATTTCGGCGTTCGACTTTTTCAAATTTGATTTATTATATTATAAATACACAAGGTTTCACATGTATTTACACGTATTAAAATGGAAACGAATGTACGAAAACGAATAGAAGAGAGAGAGAGCAAACGAACGAACTGTCATAGACGAATAAGACATAAAAATACAAAAATAATCTGGTGATTGAATATCAATTTGAAAAAAAAAGAGACGATCGAATCTGGAAAAAGACATGGGTTAATGAACTGTGCTAGTTGACTAGAAACGTATGAACAAATCTTATTTGGTGTGAGCGAAGCGTGTTGCTTTAGCCGAAAGAAATGCATGTAAATGGAAGACAAATGGTTTTGGCGATGTTTCGAAATACAGTTCCTAATTAAACATAAAAAACAGTTCGATTTGACAAAAAAAAAGAACGCCTTCACATACCATTACACCTTCTTCGCCATGAAAATCTAGAGTAAGTAAATGATTATTATCATCTGAAGATGAACGAAGTTTCTCGAATGATTCTTTCCATAGTAAGCGGATGTTTGTTTGAGTGTTCTCAGGATCACTATACAAAGCAAAGCCATCTTCGTAGTGTAAATATAGCTTACATAGACGATTATTCCATTTACAAGCTACAGAAAACGAACGGGACGGAATGAAAGGAAAGTTCTGGTTTTGACATACGAAAAATCGCTTCCTGAACACGTAAAACCGCATTTTGGGTCCATTGGCTCATAGACTGAATCCAGAAATCCGAATCTAATTTGGTTTCCAGTCGAAGAGAATGTGTTACAATACCAAATTTCGTTCCAATACGTAACGTTAAGAAAGAAATATCAATATCGACTGATGTATCGTGCGTCGATGCCACCAATCTAAAAATGAAAAGTGCAAAACATTCTTTCGTCATCGCAGATGTTACCTGCTCGTCAATATTGGATAGCTTGTGGTTATTTCGCGAGACGCTTGTCTTGAAACAGGCGGGTAGTTTAATAAGCAGAGATCGAACTCTGTCAAAACGAAAAAAACAGGTCGCCATGATCTGATAGTTGTCACTTCATCATAATGGACTTGTTCGGCAAACCATCCTAATGATTTCACTTCATTATGGTCACGTTCAACATAGAATCGTTCTTCGATATCAGGTATAATACTCAAAAGACAGCGCGAGATTTTCGCGTGTATTATATAAAACCATTTGCGTGCATACATGTCATCGACGAAGCGAATGCTATAGCATGTTTGAATCGATGGTAAGACAAGATCTAAGATAGCACCATTGCTTCCGTTTGTTAACAGCGGCGATGCTGCCGATGGTAATGATGACGAAGGTGAGAAAACGATCATATCAGTGGCTGATGCTGATCGACGGAAAACATAACACAGACGAAGAGATATACGCTTAGTTTCATAACGAATCGAATCATTAGATGATTGTGGAGATGTAGCGGCAAGAAGTCGTTTTGCACCTGATTCATTGAGATTGTCTTGAGATGGTTGTTTACCAGCTAAGGAACTTGTTTGTTTTTGCATTAAGACGTTAACTTCTCGGAGATAACGAACTGAAATAAGAAAAGATGTTGCTTGTCAAATTTCTTCTTCGCTTTACAAACTGACCTTCAAGTTCGACCTCTTTACCACACTTTTTCAATATTTGCACTGCTTCTTCGTGAGAAACATGTTGCAAATCTTTACCATTAACAGACAGGATCGCATCACCAACGTAGAGTTGTCCAGTTTGATCGGCAGGCATGTTCGGAAAGATTTTACTAATCAATATAGGCATCCGATTTTCTCGTCCGCCTTTAATACTTATTCCTAGGGGAATGCAAATAATTCAATTTGAATCTGAACGTCTCGCTGCTTCTCATTCTTACCAAGACCAGTATTGTCTGGTTTGGAGATCTTAATCAGTCGCTTTTGGCTACTAACATTATTAGATGTATCGCGAAAAGTTGAATTTCCATCTTCGATTGATAATTGTTTATCATATTCGTATTCGATGAAGAGATTGTCGTTTTCAAGTGTTAAATTTGCTTTGAGCCATTTTGACTGAACATAAAGTTCAACAACCGCACGTTGTTGTTCTGCCAGCGGTGATTCTACTGTCATCCGGTAGTATGAGAAAATGTAACTACTGAAATGAAACTGAGTCTCTAGTTGTCGATGACATTGATTTGTTTATTTACTATTTACTTGCTGAGTGGATTGGTTGGAGCGACCAATCGATCGACTGGAATCAAATGAGGATAAAATTGAAAATGGATTTTCATTCAGAAAAAGAATACAAGATTTTATTCATGATAAAAGAAGATTTCGAAGCGAAAAGCGACATCTATCATACAAAACAGTGATGATGATGATCATTAATCGAAGATCGCATACACATACATCATGAATTGATCGTTTTTGTTTCTTGTTTTAGATCGAATTTAAGCAACCATGGTGAGTATTCGTCGTGGTGAATGAGAAAACCGACGTTGATTGTGAATTTTAGCCACAAAACGAACATATCGAACTCCATCGTAAACGACATGGTCGTCGATTCGATCACTATGAAAAACAGTAATCTCAGTCCATACACTAAAACTCCTTTAAAACTCTATCTAATTGTAGAAAGAAGAAAGAAGGACGTTTGCCACATATTCTATCCAAGAAGGCTCAAACCTTACGTGGCATTAAGTAATTACCCTTGAATTCGACCCGCAATCATTTCTCATGTTCAATTTTATTCTAGAGCGAAATTATACAACAAGCGTCGTCAAAATGAGAAGATTCAAATGAAGAAAACCATCAAAAGTCATGAAGAGAAGGAAACAAAACAACGAGAGGAAGTACCTGAAGGTGCTCTACCAGCATATTTACTCGACCGTGAGAAACAAAGTCGAGCCAAAATTTTATCTAATACTATTAAACAGAAACGAAAAGAAAAGGCTGTAAGAATTGATCTTGATCTATGTAAGCAACCACTCACTCTGATCTTTTAGGGTAAATGGGACGTACCGATACCAAAAGTGAAAGCAGTAAGCGAAGCGGAAGTATTCCGAGTTGTTCAATCGGGCAAACGACGAAGTATGTCACATTTCTCGTTCTATCTATGTGAATATTGAATATAATCCATTTATTTAGAGAAAGCATGGAAACGATTAGTTACCAAACCTTGTTTCGTCGGAGAAGGATTTACTCGAAAGCCACCAAAATACGAGCGTTTCATTCGACCAATGGTAAACCATCATCCGACTTCATTCTTCTTCTTTAGAACACTCTTCTCTCATGCTAGGCACTTCGATTCACAAAAGCACACGTGACACATCCAGAATTAAAAGCTACATTTCAATTACCAATCATAGGTGTTAAGAAAAATCCTAGTTCACCACTCTATACGTCATTAGGTGTGATTACCAAAGGAACTGTTCTTGAAGTGCGTATTTTACTGTTAATAGTTATTGAAAGCCATTATGTTTGTTTACGTTAGGTTAACGTCAGTGAACTCGGTATGGTTACCCAAGGTGGTAAAGTCGTATGGGGAAAATATGCTCAGGTGACTAATCATCCTGAAAATGATGGATGTATCAATGCTGTACTTCTCGTTTAATTTGTTCGTTGTTTTCGATCGAAATAAAAACAATAACACTATCGATGTTCACTCAGCAGACGCATCTTTCCAATTCCTTACAACAAAAAAAAATCATTGATTGATCAGAGAATCCTTGGAATCATTCGTTATAAGTATTCTTTTCACAGATGATTTGATTATGCTATGTAATGCATACATAATACGTTTATTTTTACATGTGATTACAAGTTCTATTGAGTTTGGAAGTTTGATTTTAATAGTACACTGGCTACAGTGTAAATATACGTCATCATTTATTTGAGTATCAATAGCTTGAAGCCCTGAATACTTTCCTCTTTCAGGAAAACTACTTTGACGTGACATGAGGGAAATATTTAAGATATAAAAAAAAGCGAGTCGGCTTGAGAAGAGGGAATATGAACCTTTTCAGAAAAAAGCAAATAATAGAAATTGAATTTTCTTCTGTATACACAAAGGACAAAAAAAAGCGACAATGTAAAGTAAGAAACAAAAGGAAAACACTAGAAAAAGTAAATGGGTAAATGCCAGTTGCTTAACAACTATCATAGAGAAAAAAGAAAGAAGAAAATATTTGAATAAAGAGTTTTTCTAGATATTATTTTGTGAGAAATTTTCTGTCAAACAACACCGGTATAAAAAGATATTGCGTGAAAGATGATTTTCCTATCGAAACGAGCTAATAGAAGTCAAACTTCGTCAGGCAAAGAAGCATGCCTATCAATCATCGGATTTTTCTTAGCTATTGGACTTGTTGGCGGACTTACTGCATTGATTTATGGTAGACAACCACAAGTCTATACTTTTGTACAGCTAATTCTGCTCTGTTAATTTAGGTTTAATCAAAGGCAACTCATCGGGAACGATTGGCGGTGGGATTGCTTTCGGTGTTTCAATTTTCTTAACTGTTCTCTTCGTTCTTCTGATTGTGTTTTGTCTGAAAACAGAGCATCTCAGTACGCATGCGCGCCGTCACAATCCAAAAGGCCAAGTGAGACACACTCCGTCTTCACACGAAATGCCTAGTATTTCTATTGAACAAAAATATGAACGTACTAACGGATTATACCCGCAAGTTATGTATCCTCAACTTCCTCTCGAATTTGTCGATAATTCCAACTACGGCTTTGGTAGACAAATGGTACATTCACCATTGCCACCACCAGCGTTTGATTCGTTGAGTCAAAGTCAATCGTCAGCGAATATGTATGATTTGCCACCGAGTTATTATAACTGACATTCAAACGAGAAGGCCTTGGACGAAACGATACTCTCAAAGAATCGAGCCGGTCTCGTTTCGTTTCTTCTTTCTTCTTTTTTTTTTGTTTCTATTTTTGAATCTGAGCGATAATAAACTACAGAAAGTAACGAACGGACAGAGAATGCGTAAAAGAAGAATATTCGAATATGTTTATCGAGTGCTGTCAATTGCACATTGAGATTAACGATGATTCCTAAAGAAAAATATTTAATTTGCCAATACGCGAAAGAAACGGTTAATGGAAAGGTAGAAGAAAATATTTAAACTTGTTATTGTTTTTGTTCGGATTTTCATCAAACATGTTCTATGTTTTCGTATGCTTTCAGAAGAAGCGAAAAAATTCCTATGTTGTTGTGAGTTTTCGTGCATTTCTCTTTAGTAGATGTTACTTGTCAAATTGATTAAAAAAGCAAAAGTTGAAAGTCGCTCTTCTGCAATTCATTCAACCAGATTCAATGCCAACTAAAACTCGCTGGTCATTAAATCCAAAGAAATGGTTCGCACCGATTTCTCCTCTTACTCAAAAACGAGAGAAAAAAGACAATCCCTTGATTCAATCGTTACCAGCAACAATAACAGTCGCGCGAACTTCGTCTTTAACTACAAATGCAGTTCGCACGTCGAAAACAAAAGCGTGTACGAAGATAACACCTGCAACCGAATCATGCGACTTGGAAAATACACATACGAGCAATGTAGTACCGATCACATTCGTTCAATTGCCACCATTCACGATACGACGGGAGCGAGCAACAGCAGTATTACCCTCGCTGTCATTCACTCGTCCGACCACATTCGTTCCTATTCATACTGAACCAACCATACGGCGAAATGGTCGTTGCGAAAAAACTCTATCGATCGACACGAAACGGCCGTCCCTTCCGCCGATCCCTTTGATTTTTTCAACCCTACCAACAACTGATCCTCATCAACAAAAAACACTAATGCACCCAGCAGAAATGAGCATTTTAACTATGTCACACCGTTGTCTAGTTGATTTTCCCAGACACACACCAGAGCCTGTTGCTAAAACGCCATCATTGCCGAATTCGTCGTTGGCATCGTCGTTAGTTGAGGAAAGCACTAATAATAATAATAATAATAATAAAAGTGCTGATCCACTGCCTGGCGAAATGTGCGATACGATCAACGATAATCCTGAATCGAAAGAGCAGCTATTGACAATGAAAGTTTTATCAATCGAATCATTAGCTGAATCAGAAACATCAGTAACTCATGTTCAATCACGACCTATTATTCATCATTTTCAAACAATTATCAACAACAGTACATCTCAACAACAGCAACAAATGTCCGCACCATCATCTCCCGTTTCACCAAGTCTGGAAGATGTTTTCGAAGACAGCCAAACATTCTCGGGAGCAACGACAATTACAACAACAGTTAAACGTCCACAATCTTCGTCAATTGCAGATAAAACGACGGAAAAACGCATTCGAATAAGCCCATCGCCACCGGCAGCGATAGACAAAACCGAATTCGTTCGAATTGCACCTGCAACTTACCGACTATGCGCTGAACAAACCGAACAATTATCAACTTCTCCTTGTCTTTCCGTCAGTTCATTTGTCGAAACTTGTCTCTCGGATGATTCACTCCGTCCAGCGAACGATGAAGCGTGCTATGCAAAACTACCGTGCGGAAGTTCTACGGAACAAATTAATAAAAACATACAAAACGATCTACGACTGATTGTCGACGGGTGTATTCGTCCAATGGCAATATCAATTGGACAAAATCGTTCGATGAAAGCTCATCAACGTTCCAAACGAATTTCTACGAACAACGATGATGCACAATTGATTATCGAAGACATTACAGATAAACTATTATCTAGTATTGACTATCCGATCTACGCTCAGCATCAAAGATGTTATTGAATTTCTATACATATTTTGCCTTAGCAATAAAAAAACACCTGAACAATATAAGATAAAATTTCTCCTGTTAAGAAACGCATGTTATATGATTAGTTGAGATTTTCCAATAAGTTTCGTTTTTTAATGTTCTCACACCTTTTCTTTCCCCTATTTGTGATTAAGTTTACACTCAACATTCTCATGTACCACCCACTACCTATGCGCTGCATGTTACGTCTTAGTTTAATCTCCTCTCCATTCGCGAACACTGCAATTATCATTGACATGTCAGCCGGAAGTCACTATGTTAATCTGTTAATCATAAAAATCGAAAATGAAGTCAAGTGAAGACGATGGGAGTACGGTGACCACTTGAAATCACATTACCTTCAGCCGTTCACTCTCGGCATGAAGCAACAAAATGCATGTCATTTGCAACTTGATCTTCATTTTCATGCAAATCGCATTTCAATATATTAATTCAATCTTATCTTCGCGATAGGAAAAAAAAACGAAACAACACCGACATGAAATTCAATAGAAGAGACGAAATTTTGTTCGTATTATGGTTTGACACTTTCTTTTATGAAAACATGCAACAAAAACAACAATAAGATCAATGTTTGATCTCACTGAGTGATGAGCATCGTGTGTTATGAATACCCATTGGCGACAATTATACAGAGATCTGCTCATCTTTCTTTGATCGTAATGTGAAAGAATCGGATTAGAGAAAATTGCATTTTGCGTGAGATTATTGAAAGATAAATATGTTTGTCATTCATTTACACATTCGAAGTGCAAGAGTACTATATGAACATCCTTCCGGTCGACAAATCAAATATACAAGTTGAGACATACTGAAACAAGAAGAAGATCAGTTTATGAAAGATAACACTTCTATGCTGATTAGACTCTTCAAGACGCACACAGCGGGATGATCGTATGGTTGATAGACGAGAAGCAATTCGAATCTAGATGTTAAATGAACGTCGGCAAACGATTGTTTTACATATCACCTCCATTGACTTGACACACATTCTTTTACAAATCAGAATTGATTACATATGAGCTGTAACCGATTGCTTTCTAATTTATGGCTATTATTCCAATAAAAAAACAAGTTCAAGTGTTAATGAGAATGGACGACGACGGCGACGTTATATTATTTGCCGATGCGTGACACGTAACACATGAGAATAAAATCTCGAAGTGTACTTGTTTGCCACTTCACTTGACTTCATTTCCATTTTTCGATTAAGCATTGCTTTTTCTGGCTCAGACTCTTCCTGATAATTGCATAGCATGCATAAGCAGAGATTAGGACGAGTGAGTGAATATATGCCAACCTATGGCGAGAAAATGAGACGAATTCGAAAAGTGTTAATTAACGAACGAGAAAGATTGATAGGGACTGATTGCAAGGATCAGTTTGTCGAACATAAGAGCGTCAAAAGCGAATGATTGTGAAGAGCTATTATGAAGAAAAAGGTACAAATGAGCAATCGAAAACACATTGCACGAAAGATCTTATCTCGATGATCGATATGACGTATCGTTACGGTTCGAGTTGTCTAATGTCTAATCGTAAGAAAATGTTTATTAGGATTGTATCGCCATGTTCTAATTTTATTTTACAGAAAAATAACAAAAATAAAAATGAATCTAGATTACAGAAAAGACAATCTATTCATCAAAGAGAAATCATTCCACTCTGTTGCATTTGTTCACGTAAAAGAATAATACTTGCTCGTTGATCTGCAGGTAGTTGAGCAATCTGCGCTTCAGTTAATTGAAGAACTTGCATCAACAGTTGAGCTTTCTCTTGATCTGTACGTGATAGAGGTGCATTGCCCGTGAGATTTGGATTAGGCTGGCCTAAAGGAGCTGTTGGCATTGAAAAATTCATCGATGCTAATTGTGGATGAAATGGAGGCGGCGGAACGATAGGTAAGGGTGGTTGTGGAACAAGATTAGGTGGCGTTGGAAATGTATGATTAGGCAATAAACCACCGACGAGATTATGTGCTGTTACCGCCGCTGCAGCAGCTGCTGCTGCTGGTGACGAATTATTTATAAGATTGATGGCTGAAGTATCTGGTCGTTTGTGAAGCATATTGGTTGCTTCGTTCGGTGGAATTAGACCCATGACAACCAATGATTGTAGCATGGCATACGTTAATTGTGGATGTTGAATGAGAATATTTCGCGCTTCAGTTGGATATTCTTTGATAATCGTCTGCATTTGTTTCATTAGATCGACGACTTGCTCAGGTGGAAGATTGACTACAAACAACACAAGATCAAATATAAAAACACGAAAGATTCAACAAAGTATAGCACCTATGGTTCGAGCAATGACTTCGGGAACTTTGTCTGGAGTTACATTAGCACTTTGAACAGTTTCAAATGTCGATGTGCCCATAGCAGTTTGTTGATGAAGTAAACGTAGTTCATCTGCTTGAGATGATGCTTTATCAACTCGGAGCGATCGACCAGCAAAGTCAAAACCGTTCAAATTTCGAATCGCACTCTGGGCCATATCGGCATCTGTGATAGACATCATCTTTTCACTATTTATAAAACAAAAAAAAACGATATTCACCTGCGTATTCAGCGAATCCATATCCTTTTGGATTTCCAGTTTCCCGATCTAACACAATTCGAAACGACAAAACCGGTCCGATAACTGTAAAGATCGCTTTCATATCATCTTCCGATGTTCCATGAGGAATGTTACCGACAAATACTGATCGTGCTTGCTTTTCCTCGACAGACATTTGTTTCAATCGATCGAAATTAACTTTCAAGTAAATGACACTATATACGATACGAAATTCTCATAGACTGTTTTTCATTGGTTGACAGTATTCATTGAAGTCTTATCAACGTGCATTGCAATTCATAGTGCATAAATGAGTTGATAATTAGTTTAAAACTGAACGAACCAATTATTGAAAGAAAAAACGTCGATCGAGAAACAAACATGTAGATTATTTGTTCTTGAAATGAACTTTTTTTAGTGTCGGTTGTTGAAACAATGTGTAAGATAAGAGTGCCGAATAGGTTTGTTTTATTCGTTTTCAGGTCTGATTTTCTTTTTCTCGATTACACTATAATTGAAAAAACTAAATCGAAAGAGGGAGCGACAACAACAAAACGAATCGCTGATTTCTCCTGTCGTTTCTTTTCGTTACCTACTATTTGTAGAGAGTCAAATCGTATTCAAACGAAACGTATAGTTCATTCGACAAGAACGATTTAGTTGTACAGGAAAACTCAAGAACAGAGAACGCACGAACATCTGTCTTTTCTTGCATCTCGTCACTCATCGCAATTATTTTTTTTCTATATTTGCAAGACAAGATTTGTTATCATTACCATTAGTGACTGATTGTTTTATATTTCAATGAATACAAGTGCACATTCGACTGCTAGCAGTTCAAAAGGTAAGGATTTCAACGAAGCAACATGGAAGAAAGAATTCGAACGGATAGAGAATGCGACAAAGAACTACGCTTGCATATAATCCCACGGTCTTCTGTCTGTACCGAGCAAATAAGCAAAAAAATGAACGGGCGATTTATCCGGCAGCGCAAAGGATTCGCGAAAAACCAAAAACCGAGAGATTAACCAACAGTAGCAAGAGAAATTCGTTTACTATAGTTCAATTGACGAACTACTAGCGCCATCTTTCGAAATGGGCTCAGGGTCTTGCAAGCGGTATTATCGGTTTTCTGACTTTGTCCAAGGCTCATGTAACCTAAAAGATATTAAAATAAAGCGAAAGACGGTCATCGCTCGGAGAGAACATAAAGGAGCTATGGCATCTTTGAAACTTTCGCCACGAGCTGACTATGTATAGAGTAGCCATTTACTCGAGTATAATCGATTTCACATTCAACAGTATTAAAAATAGGAACAAGAATTAGCTTATTTCTTCTAACTAAAGGTGTCGCATATTTGACTATATTCTTTTTATTGTAGGTTCACCAAGTGGTGATCCTGGCGTCGATGATAGTAACAGTAAAGATATCAGCTCGTCGAATTGCGTACAGTAATGTTTCATTTGTTGTGTTTGCATGTGAACAAGAGCATGGAGTCAATGTGTTTTCTATTTCAGAGAAGACGAAGATGACCCATATACATATCGTAGTCGAAAGTCTTATCCACAACGAGTGAACCGACCAAAACTAAACTATCGCGATCTTGAACGAGGTGTATATGATGCGCATGAACTTCGCCAGTCAAGTTGGGCACTTGGCGGCCCAACGTTTCTGAATAGAAACAATCGAACTGGTAAAAATACCACGAATTACAGTGATGATGAGAACGACGACGATGACAACGATCAAGATACGCCTGCTAATGATGATGAAAACGAAGAAATATTTAATGAAAAGAAAAGTAAATCAAACGATGATACCGATCAAAAACATCGCCGTCTTTGGTGCATATGCAAAAAACCATGGGATCATTCCCGACTTATGTTACGATGTGATTCATGTGCCAATTGGTATCATGGAGATTGGTAATCTTCAGAACATTATCGGATTGTAATTTATGCTCGTTATTTTAGCATTGGTGTAACAAAAGAACAAGCAAGAGTATTGGATATGAACGGCGATCAATTTGTTTGTCCGCCGTGCCGTGGTATGATAGATTCATGAAATGAAAGGAACCAATCGACTGAATCCCTTTATTTAGGAGTAGCGTCTTCTAATTCAGGAATCAAATCAGGACGCTCGTCTGATGAATCGCTGTTGATTAAGCGCAAGCGAATCGATGCTGATTCGCCCAGTGATCGCAAGGTCGGAGAAAGAAATGGCAATGTAAACGCTGCAAAAAACCTAACCCTTTCTGAGCCATCAAAACGTCCCAAAACTGGAGTATTCTTTCAGCGTGATACAACGACCGTAAGGATTTTACTCAGAAAAAGATATGCATACACATATTATCTCCCAGGAACCACAAATTCATTGTATTGCCCATGGCTGTAGCAATTGGGCAAAATCAAGTTG